CCGACCTGGTCGGTTGATTATATATATAATTTTCAGTCGGTGGGATAATTTTCAGTCGGTGGGTTTCCATTTTTGGAAACTGACAACATGTCAGTCGGTTGGGATTTCGACTTAATAACCGCCCCGACCGATCGATGTGCACCCCTACTCACCAGGGAGGTGGTGACCGGTGAAGTGATGACTTCCCCCTTGACTCTTCCTTCCTTATAAAAGGAGGTTCTCCCATTCTTTATGTTCGATTGATTGAGTTTCCAAAAATTCTAACGAGAAACCTCCCTCTCAATCTCTCGATCCTCCCGCTCAATTTTAAGATGGTTTCCACAAACCGAGTTCTTAACATTCAGAGGATAGCGAGGAAAGTTTTTTTGGTGGTGTTGGTGTACATTGAAGATGTATCTTCAAAGTTATGTTTTCACTACTTCCGTTTTATAATGTTTTTGTCTTTTCTTTGTTGTACTTCTAAAATAAAATTGAAGCACACGCGTGTCACGTGCTTCCGCTGCGGGATTCAATCCCTTCAGAAAGTACAAGACTGAAAGTTTCAACCTTAAAAAAAATCTATCGACTTGGATTGATGGTAGTAACAAATTTTATTAAGCTACACAACTGTTATTTTTTTGTCTAACTTGATTTTTATTTGGTTCCTCAAATTTTATAAAATTCTATTAATTGTATTTTTTATTTTTTTCGTACAAGTGAGGATATTCTATTGATAAGTTTGGAACTCATAACCTTTTAGTCGGAGATAGAAATCTAATCCAATTGAGCATAACTCAAGTTTATGTCGGAGATAGAAATCTAATCCAATTGAGCATAACTCAAGTTGGCTGCTTTTTCAATTAGCCTATTCAACCTTAGATAATTTTAATCAAAATCTATCATTAAACAAACACATTAGTTGACTAACAAAGAAAAGAATGAGAGTCTATATTGATGGGAATTATGTAATTGTGTTTTTTTTTTCCAACGTGATCTTTGTTTTTTTTAATTATTGCATATACCACCATTCACCTCAAATTAATAGTAAATCTATCACAAGCTACAAATATTTATAAATATGGTACAATTTATAACCATGTATAAAATAATGAATCACTAATGCCATGTATCAATTACAAAGAGGAAATGATGCCTAACCAATATTTTATTAGTAGTAGTCGTAAAATAATATAGAAGTGATGTAATAAAAAAACGATATATCGGTGATATATTTAGGTAAAAATGAATTACTTAAAAGTATCTAATATGTGTGCATTTTTTTAAAAACAATGATCATATTTTTAAATTATTTTTCTATGCGACAGATTTGCAAATATGGTAATTAATTTTACCATCCATTATAATTTTTCTATTTTTTTCCAATGTCGTATATTCCAGATATAGAACGAAGATCTGGAATGAAGCATTGTTCACTATAGATATGGGTTCATAGATCTTGGGAAACTTCCTCGTCCAGAGCTCCTCAGTCATTTTAGTTTGGTCTTCAAGTTCCTCATGATAACCTTGTTAATTATCCCTACCTTCCCACAAGCTTGCAAATGAGCCAATGCAAGAATAAATGTTTGGTGTTGAGTTGGAAACAAAAGTTTTTTAATGATGCATTGTCGAACTGCCTCCCATTGTTGGTGAGAATGACATGAAATATTCTGAAAAAATAGCATATGATGGTTCGCCATATGAAATCGACCATTTTATTATTAGTGATGGTGGCCTCATCCTCGACCTCAACTCACTTATTAAAATAGTTAATTGCGACAATGACAAATTTTGTTTCGAATCGTGATATCTCCTCGAAAGAAAGTTATAATATCGTGCTAAGTAAGGATAAAAATGAGAAATATGAAAAGCATCCCTCAATCTAATGAATTTGAAAGATATGGCTCAGTGATTGCTATTTTTTATCTTCAATGCAGAAAATGTCAAAGCATCAGATATGGACCAACTGGGCCAAACAACAATGCTGAAGATCAATTGGCAAAATATATTTGGTACACCGATCTTTACCCAATGTCCATACATCATCAATGTCCGTACGTATTTGTTATAAAAAAAATAATATTGTTTCTAGAAAGTTTGGAAGGAAAAAAAAACAAAACCAGGGCTTTAGAAATACAATATGAAATTTTACTCACAAAAAAATTACATCCTTATCATTCATTCATTGAAGTTTGAGTTATGGTATCWATTTGATCTTAAAAGTTTAAAAAGGTTCCAAACATTAAATTTTGAATTACTGTCCTTGTTGTGGATGAAAAAAATCCAAATTCTCTTTATTCAAGGATTCAAAAGGGAGATATCTTGATGACYTTTAGATTCAGAAGAAGATATCCTATATACAAAATGAGGGGATCTCTCTAGATTCAGATAATCAGATTTCCTAGATGTATSAAGATTCGAATTCCACAATGGATCAGGATTCGACTTCGATGGGAAGTAAGTCAATTTTATACTCAACTACTCTGATTCTACCGGTCTTTAATGCTATTCTATTTTGCAGGTCTTCGTCTAATCCMTTTTATTTTTTAAGATTGGTGCAAATTTAGCGGAATCCCAAGAGACCAAATTTCTGCATCAACAATCCTAATAATACATAAAGCGAGAATAATAATACATCGTTCTATATTTTAATTTAAGTAAAATATTAGTTTTAGGTTAATTGGTTTTATGTTAAATATACCCTATGGTTTAAGTATTTTATGAATTTAGTCTTCAATTATTTAAAATTCTCAATTTTACCCTCGATGTTTTAAAAGTTTTCAATCACGTCATTGTCTAAAAAAATGTTGTTAACATTCACATATCATTAAATTATTGTTATAATTATATATTTGGTTATRTGGGCATGTCAATTTAAGAAAATTAATTATTTTTATTAATTGTTTGAATCCAAGTGGCATGTTTACATTAAACATATTAACAAAATTTCACAATTTTTTTTTTAGTGAATAACCTAATTGAAAACCCAAGGGTAAATTTGGGCTTTATGAAATATTGAGAAAGAAATCGAGAATTGACTAAAGAATAGGGTCGTCTCTTATATTTAGTTTTGTTTTATTAGCTTGTTAGTTGGTATTTTACATTTTTCTTTGTAAGGCTATAAATTACCTCTTCCTWTTTGTAATAGTGGTATTTTTTTAAATATTTAGAAAAGATTTTAAATACTCTCTCTTGTAAAGAAAGTTTATCTATCACTCGAGATTGAACCTGTAATCTCTAGAGRAGGAGTAAATATAAATTATCGCTGAACTATATTCATGTTGGCCACTCATTCTAGACCATTGATAACATCTATCTAAATTTACTATATCAATACCTATTCATAATAAATTTACTTTAGCAATCATTAATTGTGGATGTTGAAATAAACCATTCGAGTCAATAATCACTCATAAGTTATAACGATCAAACAATTAGTCAAGGAATCACTTTTACATCTACTTGTCTTTTAGATATATATAATTTTGAATTATAACTTGTACGTGTAATAATGATGATTTATGCAACTACTTTGTATAAAAATAAAAATAATATTTAGTTCTTAATGATGATTTATGCAACTACTTTGTATAAAAATAAAAATAATATTTATGTTGTAGAACTAATGCTAAGTAAAATATCGTTGAAATTAATCAAGTTTGAAAAATGAAAAACAAGCAGCTTTGAAAATATATGTTTTAGTTATTTTTAAATTGGAATTTTTTATGAGTAAATTGGAAAAAAAAATTAAAATCAACTTTGAAAATAAACCTAAGATAACTATTAAAGTAAGGTGCTCGGTCTTAAGTTCGAATCCCTCACCTTCATTTACTGTATAAAAAAATAAGTATTTCAAAATTAAAAAACCTACGTTAAATTACATCACACATATAAAAGTTTTTTTAAGCCAAAAGTTTGATGTTTTATTGGAAAAACATTAATTTTTTTCTTTAATTTGGAAACATATTTTTAAAAAATATATCTTTTGGAAGTTTTAATACAAATTTTCATATTGAGTCCAAAAGTCCAACAAAATAATAAACAATTTTGAAACTTGTGAGAGRCAATAAATATGCTACGGAGTTAGCACACTAAGCTATAAATGAGTTGGTATTTTTCATCAAAATATTTAGGTTATATATACACGACAAGGACAATRTATATGTTTTTTTCAGAGTAAAACAAACGTGGATGAATGATTAAACCTCAAACTTAGAAGTTAGATGCTATTAAACTACGCTCTTATTGATCATAAAAATAAATAAATATATTTACAACCAATGAAAGAAATATATAAGCCATACTTGTATGTTCTATTCATATAACCATTATGATGGTTTAAGTGCATCTTACTAATAATTTTTTGGATGTTGAAATAAAATCACATTAGAAATTCAAGATTATAAAGTTGATTTGTTTTCTCGTTGTTTTTGAATAACTAGTTAAGGCGTTAATTGRGCATAACTCAATACTCATTTTTGTGTTGTTAGTCCACACAACGCCACAAGCTTGCTTAGGCTTGACAAAGCAACTGGGGTGGAGAGCCAACGCCTTGTCTYCCCATAGTACTTTTTAAGGTAATTTTACTCTAACACTTGTGAACATCGAAAATGGCGAAGAGCCACTCACTGATTTTTATAGTGCACATTTGAATTTCATCTAGCTTAAATTTGGATTGCTTACATATATCTCATTGATATGTATCTAATTTAGACGGTCTTGTTTAGTGAGTTTTGTTTGTCTATTTTCTTATTATTTTTGCCTAAAAAAAAAAATTTCAAAGTCGCCCGTGGAGACTCCTCATACCACTCCTCACTTTACCTTCCATATATCATCAATAATAGAAATTTGAATATCCACCCACGTATAAGATAATTCAATTGAACACATTATACATTGATCTCAATTGAAGGTAAGCATTTTCGTTTCGGTTAAATTACAAGTTGGGTACATAAATTTTTAGGTTCCTAAATAATAAAATAGTAAGTGAAGTTTAAAATGTGTCTAAAGAAAATCCTAGAAACTTTCCTCAAAAAAAAAAAAAAAGAAGAAGAAGAAGAAGAAAAATCCTAGAAACGAGGATGGGGGCATGAAATAATCTAATAAACAATGGCGACGAGCCGTCGTGTAATTCACTCACTCGGACTCTTGGAGATGGAGAAGTGAAGCGCGAAGGAGCCGACTTTCATGCAAACAGAAGACGAAGGATTTGATTGAGATTGATTGATTGATTCATTGAGGGTGCAAAAAGAGTGGTTTCGTTCGAGCTAAAGTTGAAGCTAAGTCGAGTTACAGTTCATCCTTTCTCTGTCATCTTCATTTCTTCCATTATTTATTGGGTAGAAAGAAATCATCAAACCCCCATCACCATCTGTGAATCATTGCGGGACAGATAGAGAATTGAGATTTTTAAGTTATAGGTCCTCTTTTTGCTCTGCTCCCACTGGGTTAGGGTTTTTTTTTGTTGGGGTTCACTCGTTGTTTGTATGTCATTTATCTCACTATCTCCGAGTTGATTTAATGTGCGGAAGAGGGATGTTTCAGACCCACGACCCAATTCTGCTGCTGAATTTGACGCCAATTTGAAAGACATAGTCATTCTGGGTCGGATCATTCGTCTATCGGCTGTTTTGAGCTGAATTTTGAGCTTAAAGTTGAAGATGGAGAATGGTTTCGACGGGAGATCGTTGGCTGAGAAGTTCTCCGGATTGGCCGTCACAGCTGCTCCACCGGAGCAATTTAACTCCCACTCGTCCAACAATCACAGTAACAGCAACGACAGCAACTTGTTTCAGGTCTTGAAAGCTGTTGAAGCAGCGGAGGCTACCATCAAGCAACAGGTGCAACAAATTTTCCTTTCCCCACCTCTCATTTCCCGTCTCTCAGCATCAAAATTCATGCCATTCTTTCTATTAATTTTGTTGCTAAATTTAGTATCTATTCACTTCACGATCGTCGGATTATCTGTACTCCCAACTCTATTGTTAATCTCTTCCGCGTTTTCTTTATACATCCATCTTGTGTCTTTGATGTTTGACATAATGCATACCGTCAATCAAGCAGTGTCTTCCGTATTGAGAATGTTGTCGAAATGCAGAGATAGTTGCTTCATGACTCGAATATTTTTCTTCATCCAAAATCTGTTCATGTTTTTTCTTTCTATACATAGGGATTATGGGCACCCGCAATTCAACATGGGTTCTCAAAACCACCTTCTCCACGATCTTTTCATGTGGTTGTAACTGTCATAGCTAGTTGAAGATAGCTGTTTTATTTTATTTTTAATTTTTTCATTTTTTAAAGTGATAACTTTAACCAGATGGGCTAGTGGTCACTACGGGCCAATGTAAATAACAAATGGTTTAGATGACTTAGTGGTCAATAAAGRCCAATGTAAATAGCGAAGGATTTAGAGGGAATGAGTTCAAATCACGATAGTCACCTACCTAGTATTTAATACCCTACAAGTTTCCTTGTCAATCAAATGTAATAGGRTCAAGCGGTTGACTCGTGATTAGTTGAGAAGCACGCAAGTTGGCCCAGACACATGGATATCAAAAAAGGAAAAAAAGAGATAACTTTGGCCTATGATTTTATTAGATAATAAAAACTAAATTATTTTTTTGTATGCCATGGAAGGTTGTTTTATTTTTTATTTTTGTATGCCAGTAAAAACTAAATTATATAATCATCTTAGTTTTTTTCCTTTTTTCTTTCTTTCTCCCCTTTTTGAGTTAAACAACGGATGAGGATTCRAACCTTTAACTTTACGAAGGGTTGCCAACGTAGTTGAGCTATACTCAAGTTGGTAGAAGCATATTTTACACTAAATGGCTTTTTATTGACTTTAATGTTTTTAATGTTATRTTTTTGAGTTTCTTAAAAGTTTGTTGTTATATATATTTATATTTTAGAATTTGAAGTTAGTTTGAGGCAGGCGCGGGTGCCACTGGGTATACGGGAGCAAAGCTACAACTCCCAGTTCTAAAAAAAAAAAGTTAGTATTATTGGAATAAGTGTTACAGGGTTAAATCATAGTCTCACAAAATTAATGGGATGCGAGGCGTGCATAAGCCAACTTAAAGATGAACAGTTACTAGAGAAAAAACCTTATTCAAGAAAATTAATGTCTTCAATTTCTAATCTTTCCCCCCTTAATTATGCTTATTCATCATTCCTACCTTTGACGAAGTAGCTTTAGCATATAAATACATGTATTGCTAGTTTGGCGAGATAATGAACCATAGCAATTAGACATCATTGATGATGGAATGGTGTCAATAGACCATAGTGAGTGTAATTTGTGTAATGGTCCATCCTTCTCCCCAAGTGTAGTCCATAAAGCAGCTTTCTCTATCCAGTTTCTTAGTTTAAGTTACTGATGATGTAATTTCCAACTCGCATTTTTCACTTTGGTTAAAAACCAATAGTCCAAGCGTTCTTTCATATAGTGGTGTCTGCGCTTTTATCCATACTAGCATTGCACCTACTTGTCCTTTATACTCATGTGCATTTCTAATTACCCATCACCGTGTGTTTTATATATCATGAATGTTTAACTAAGTTGTATCATTCATGTTATGGCTACAACTAAGATTCTATAATTTAATATTATATACTGATATGWGCTTTTGTAATTATAGTATTTCTCAAATCTTTGTCAATTGGGAAGCTTTTGTGTAATTCCTTGGCTTGTGGGGATATCTCATCTCCCCCTTTTTTTTGTATCTCCTCTTTGATAATGAAATCTAGTTTCTTATCCAAAAAAAAAAATAGAAAAAGAAAAAAAAATTATATACTGATATGTGTATCTAAATACTCTTAGGTGGAGGAAAATAATCGTCTGAGGATCGAACTTCAGAAAAAGATCCAGGAACTGGAGAAATATGTAAGTGCCAATTGAATTTACACAAAATCTTAGTGTTTGCTTAATGTCTTGAACATGATTTTTGAATTATTTTGCACCCATTTAGTTTCTTGAAGTTAAGATTTAAAAGAACTATCTCCTCTCTCCTCACTCCTCATTTGATTTCTTTGTTGGTTAGTTATTGATCAATTGGAAGGCAACTTCATCTGCTATTCTTTCGATCAGCTCGATCTTAAGTCTTTTATTTTTGTTTGTTGATGGATATAATGGAAAGTACTTGAGTTGTAGTATATTCAACAAATCCTTCTCTGTTAGTTTTGCTCAAGGAAATTACTTATTGTAAGAAAGGAAAAAGAGTTGCTCTTTTTTCATCAAATTTCATTGGAACATCTTACTATGGTCGGAGTAATCTCTTGCTTCACTCTGTCATAGCCCATTCTATGTCAAGTTATACAAGCAGATGCGTGTAGAAAAAGACTGCTTCTAGTCTTCAAAATATCAAACCATTTTTGTCGGTTTGTTGAAATTTCATTTTTGTCTGATGGAAGTGTGAAGAACAACATTTTGGTTCTGGCTGGGATTTAAAAACGAGCCTGGAAGGTCTTTTTGGGAAATGTTGAATGAATTTCTTCAGAAGTCTACGTGTAATTTGTGTGGTAAAGGATATTTGAAGTGTCTCATGTCAGCAAGGATTGGGGGGTTCCATATTTTATTACTAAGCAGGTCCTTTTACCATCTTTGAGGTTTAATGCGGATGCTTCTTCAAAAAATTCAGAATTAAAATAGAGAAGGAGGTGGTGGTCTTGGATTTGGATGAAATTTTTGTAATCACTAGATTACATTCTTTCAATTATTGGAGAGTTATTTATGAGATTCTTAAGAAAGAAATCTTTGGGAGTTGTTTAATCAATCCCTTTGAAGTTGACAAAGCTTTGTTGAAATTGCAAAATGGTAAATTCGTGGATTTCGAAGGGAGTCGTGGAGTATGGAAAAAGGTGGGAGGTATTCATATTCTGATTGAAACATGGTGTGCTTGTAAGCATGGAAGATTGGAGATGATTGAAACTGAAAGTGGCACGTGAAACCTTAGCGAATGGACATGGAACCCCTTGGACAASTGGAACCTCTTGGTAATTAATGGTGGTTGGATTAAAAACCATCATGGGTGGCCTAATGGGACATGCAAACAATGTAAATAATAAAGGGCTTTGAGGGAAATTCAAATATAATCATTTTGTTCCTCCTCTTTTGGAGCTTTTGAAGATTTATCCTCTGGAATCTGTTTTTCCGGATGATATTGAAGTTGWTTTGTTAGTGTTAGTAGTTATGGCTTAGATGAAAGTGAAAACGTAGCTGACGTAATGTTGATGGTTTGGAAGATTATCTTGAAGATGCCTTGAACTTTCTTTTGAATTGGGATAAATATCAATTATTGATTGAAAGTTCTTCTTGCTTTCCTATCATCATATAGATTGTGATATGCAATGGTTGCCTAATGGGAGTTTAGAGGTCGATTTTCCTTTTCATCTTGATAAGATGGACTTGTAAGATTACTTCACCCAAGTCGGTATCTCTTGTGTTCCTATTTAGCCCAAAGTTCAATTTGCAGACCTTTTTTTTTCCCTTCAACAAGAAACGACGTTTCATTGATATATGAAAAGGAAAAATGTGTTCCTTCGGGGACATCCGATAAAATTGGAACGATAAAGAGAAGACTAGCATGGCCCTTGCGCAAGGATGACACGCACAAATTGAGAAATGGTCCAAAAAATGAAAAGGAAAAATGTTCAAGATACAAACCCCAAAGGGGTGAAAAAAGAAGAGGGAGAAGAAGAACGTAGAAATAGTGCAACTAAAGCAATACAAGCTCGAAAAAGATAAAAACATTCTAAAATAGAACTCAGAMAAACTGCTTGTTACAAAGTGTGGAAATCCAAACTAATTCTAGAGCCAACATCTGCATGAGGGAAAAAACCTTCCTTAGCACCAAGAGCGAAGACAAAACTCCAAAAAGAACCAAGTAGAAGCTAGGGACACAAGAATTAGACCGCAACCAGAATTCAAATAAAGAGTAATCACCAAATACTAAGCCTCGATGCTGTCTTCAAAACACCTCCAAATATAAACCATCAAATGCCAATATGCACATGGGAGAAAAACTTTGAAAGCCTCACCAACCAACCATCTGAACTATAACAGTAAAGCTTTGAAAACTGCAGAAGACGTAAGAGAGAACAATCCAACTTTCCGAACAACTTAAAACTCAGAGGTCAAACTCAAATGGGACTAGAGTAATCCTCATTTCTTCAAAAAAGGAAGGAATGGTTGTTTGCTGTGGGWGAATTGACTTCTCATCTTCTTTTTGCTCATTAAATAGAATTTGGAGATCTTCCTCAACAGGATGCTCAGAAACATCCTCAATAGGAGTGTCTGACTTTGGGGAAGAGTCCAAACTACTAATACTAATTGCACCATCGTCATCTTCAAAATCATTATTCGAGCATTCGAAGGAGGATGATCTAGGAGGCAAACCCTCGTTAGGAATGAATAGAGCCAATGCACAAAACATTTACCTTGTCCATACTAACTTTACTAACTCCTTCCCTTTCCTTATTGAAAGCCTTATTCAAGTTAACTTGAACCCCTTCAGCTAACAAAGACTTTGCGAGCTCCTTTCCAAAAATAGTGTTAGGCTTTCTACGAGAGTAATAAAGAGGAAGGGGTTGAATTAATTTTTCGGTATTCTTCATACTAGGTGGAAAAGGGTTACCCTTTGACTTTTGTTTCAGAACAGCCTTTGCATTTAATTCTTGAAAAACAGTAGGGCCAATATTATCCATTTCCTTATTAATGCCCATGACGCCTGAGGAAGGCCCAAATAAGATTATGCCCCAGAGGAAGGCCCAAATAAGAAGTCGGGAAAGTACACACTGAGCAACCTATTGTAGATGCCCAACGAGAAAGCTTAGAGGGATCACAGTTAATACCCAAAAGCGAACTTTTTTCTCGGTTAATCTTAAGCCCCGATAAGGCCTCGAAAAAAGACACCAGATTGATCAAGTTCCTTCCCTGAGCAAAAGAGAATAGTGTCGTCAGCAAATTGAAGGTGGGAAAGACTAACTGGATCTCTTCCCACAACAAATCCTTCTAAAACCCCCTTATCCACGCCTGAAGAAATCAGGATGCTCAAAATATCCACCACGAGGATAAAAAGCAAAGGGGAGAGAGGATCTCCTTGTCTCCCATTAACGAGAATAGAAAAATTGACCGACCGGAGGCAATTCCAAATCCAAGATCTCCATTTGAAACCAAAACCTTCTTTTCCAGGACTCTATCAAGAAATCCCCAGTCCACATGATCATAAGCTTTTTCAAAGTCCAAATTAAATCAGAGCCTTCCAATCATACAAAATCACGAGGAGGCTATAATTACAAAAGAACTTCTTGCGGTTAGAATACCACCAAGAAGATATATGCTGTACATTGTTCCACAAAAAATCCTATGTAACAAAAGAATCTTTAAACAATCTATTGTTTCTTTCTTTCCAAATAACCATGAAATAGCCTTGACGACATAATTCCAAACCACTTTTGCCTTGTTTTTGAACCTCAAGCCCATCAACCCTCAAGAAGCCAACTATCAATACTATTTGGGAGACAAATTGAAAKGTTAAAAACTTGTAGGACAAAACCACCAATTCCTTGCAAACGGGCACGGGAGAAGGGATGATCCAACGATTCGACAAACTCGTACACATCCTACAAATGGATGGGGGGAGGGAYCATTTTGGGAATTTTCTTTGAATTGTACCAGAGGTATTTAAACTCCTATAGCAAAGGGACCTCCTTTTCATATCTTCAATGAAATGTTCGTATCTTGTTTAAAAAAACTCCTACCACAAAAAACTCCTATAGCAAAGGGAGCAAAGAAAAAACTTCACCATTTTGGGAATCTTAAACCTCAAAATGGCTTTAATTAGGGGAACTTGTAATCCCCTTGCTGAGGGGAAAAACTTTAGGAAATAAGACCTATAAGAGAAAGAACCACTGGAATCTATAGCCCATTTCAAACTGTCTTGACCCACCCCAACTTTACAGCCTTCCAATCTTTGCGTGAGGGCCACCCAATTGCCAAACTCTCTAGCAAAAATGCCTTTACGGAGGCCTAAGTCCCAAGAATGATTAGAAGCATTTGCATTATAACACGTGGCAATAACTGCTCCTTTCTTAAAAGAAATCGAATAAGTATCAGGAAAGGAGGTTGCAAAAGAATCATTTCCTCAAATTTCAAAAGGGCTGGAAGTTCTTAGAAGTGAAAAGATTCAATCTTTTTGGGTGTCTTTTTGCAATGCTTGTATGCTGGTTGGGGTTAGTTGGAGTTGCAGAAAGCTTTCTCCCAAGCTTTTGGAGCAGTTGGTTTGCTGGTTTGCTGGCTGGTTTTGACTGATTGGGAGCAGATCTTTTGCTCGATTTTTTGTTTCTGAGTTCTCTTTGGTTTTTGGTTAGTTTGTTGATTTGATGATTCTTTTTTTTGTTGATCTTGGTTTTTCTTTTCTCCAACTTGGAGGTTGTTTTCCTGAACATGGATCAATGAAAGTTTGTTTTTTTTTGGTTAAAAAGAACTTGTAGAATTTAATATGGCAGAATTAGTGGATTTTCATCTCCTAAAATGGAATCTGGTTAAGCTCCCTTTGTTAGAAGGGGGTTTGGGCATTATTGATTTGAAAAAGGAACAAGAAATTACTTGCAAAATGGATTTGGCTTTTCAACGAAAAGAGGCTTTATGGAGGAAGACCATTGCTACCAAATATGGAACAAAGAACTTTATGGATTAGGGAGATTTAATTTATTCCAACATACGGTGCTAAGTTGGAAATGGACACTCTACTCTTTTCTGGACAGATTTATAGATTGGTCAAAGACCTGACAGATTTTCCCTTCCTTTCCTCTCTCGGCAAACAGAAAATGCTACTGTGGCTAAGGTATGGAATGAACAAACAAAGGCTTGGAACATGAACTTCA